CTTTGACATGAAATGCAACTTGTAAAATGAGGTTATAGCAAAAGAAAAGAATACATAAACACTATTCTATAATGATACTAATAGCTTATTTTACATAAAATAAAAAGAAAGTAGATTTTAAAATTTGAATTCAGTCTATAAAATGAAATCCAAGTTTAATCTATAGCCAAAGAAAAGCAAGGTTTCAAGAGTAATGCAAAAAAAATTTTTTTTAATAATCTATTTCCTGTGGAATTTGATGTAAATCATTCTAAACACTGAAAATGCTTTTAAGACTTTATATAGATATGATTCTATGATTTTATTAACTATAGATGTTTAGACCTCTTTTTGTTATTAATCATTCTTAGATGTTATTAATTTAGTTCAGCACTTTTCTACTGGTGTCCTGCAAGAATTTTTAAAACATGTGATACCTGACTATTTGGTCCAGGGTACTGACCTCTTTTCCCTTAGATTGTCAAGTAAAATAATGACAGGACAAGAGCCAACACAACAATAGCCATCCAGTGTGAGTGAATTAAAAATATACTATTTTTTGTTAGATTGGCAAAAAGATATATTTTTTTGGTGTGCCACAGAATTTTAGTAATTAGTTCATGTGTGCCATGAGATGAAAAAGATTGAAAATCACTGTCTTGTTGCCTTCTTCCAAATGAACTAAAATTTTGGTAGTGTTTTGGCAGAGTAATATTCAGATTCTTTTGGCCAAAGATAGGTTCCATAAAATAATATTGAAGATTGAATATTGAAGAGTAGCCTTTTCATATACCAAACTGTCCATTGTTTTTAGCAGTCATAAACTGAGATAGATTTAATAAGCTTTTTATCCTCCTCTTATAATCATCCCTAATTATCCCCATTTTTTTTTCTCTTGCTGAAACTGTAATGTACCCACAACCACATCCATACCACTTCGGTCTCCAAAGTCCAAGGAGAAATGACAGTCTCGACCTCTACATTACACAAAGCCCTACACCCCTCAATAGAAGTTAAGTTAGTTTTAGTGGGTAGTACCTGAGGAAGATGGTCTTATGCCAGTCTTCACTCTGTAAAATTACCAAAGACTATCCTTTAAGAGTTTTCCATAGCCCTCGCCAGTTTGGCTCAGTGGATAGAGTGTCAGCCCACAGACTGAAGGGTTCCAGATTAGATTCGGGTCAAAGGAATGTACCTGAGTTGCATATTTGATCCCAGGTTCTGGTCAGGCATGTAAGGAAACAATCAATCGAGGGTTCTCTCTTTCATCAATGTTTCTCTCTGTCTCTCCCCTTCCCTTCCACTCTTTCTAAAAATCAATGCAAACATATCCTCAGGTGAGGATTTAAAAAAAAAAAAAAAAGAATTTTCCTTAGAGTGAAAAGCAATAGACTTCTATAGAGAGGTATCTTTCAGATGCAAAGTGCTGATAACCAGTTGATACACAAAGCTTCTATATCTAAATCTCCAAGATCTTACATTATAGTGCAAATCACCAGCATGCTCTTTATGGATCGTATTATAAATATCCTTCAGATATTGATATAATAAAGACACTGAGGAACGTTAAGGCCATGAAGATAGAAATAGTCGCAAGCATGTCAAAACTCTCATAAGTTTTCAGGTGATCATATATTGTCCATTGATATTAATAACTTTAATTAAGCAAATGTATTATTTCTGATATCAATTGCAATTGATCTTCAAAGTTAAGTAAGTTAAAAGATCATTCTTTCAGGTACATTTGGATAATTTTCATTAACATAATTAAATGTTAATTCATTGAGGATAGGAACCTTGGCTCGTTAATGTATTTTTCTCCTGTGGCTAGAATAATACCCGGAACTCAGCAGGTATTTGGTGAATACTAGAGGAATGAAAAAATGGATAGCTGTAAAATAAAATAAGTCTTCAATATATAAGGACAAAACAGATGTATACAGTAATTAGATTCAATTTATTAGGTAGGCTCAACTAATCTTGTCCATTTTAATGATCATGTGAGCAAATTATTTCTTAAGTAATCTATCAGTATAATATACTTGGATAAAATATTAAAACTAACATAAAATATGATTAAACAATCCACATGGTAGAAATATTTTTAGTAACTTGGGGTGATTCTTATATTGCTTGATTTGTATATGCTGTCAAAAGTTCAGACATTTCTTGAGCCTGCTATGTGCCAGGCTCTCTGTTTATCAAAATTGTAATTTTTGTTTATTCACTGTTTTTGAATTACACAAAATAAGAACACTTTTTTTCATCAGGCCAGCATCTAGTTCAATGCCTGCCAATATATTGTGATATATTGTCAATAAATATTTGTTGAACAAATAAAAGTATGGACGGGTTTTTGCTTTCAAGTAATATAGTCTAGGAGGCGAAGGAACGACAATGAGACAGGTGCAGTCTGAGAAGGAAAAGAAGAGGGAATAGAAGTAACAGTAGGTGAAGAGTCCAGAAATTGGTCCTTTTGATGGTAGTTAAAAAGAATGAATCTGTGTATTGCTCAAATTGTAGAGAGTACTACAGAATTTGAAGACCAGGTAATACTATTAGCCTCAGAAACAAAACTAGGGTCTTCAGATAGAATTATGTGGCATGAATGAACTATATTCTAACTGAGCAGATGTAGGAATAAGAGGAAGAAGGGCAGTGAGAGACTCCTGAAACACCCCACTCTCACTCCCACTATCATTGGGTATTAGAAACTGAATAACACAGTTATTCATTAATATTCCTTGAAAGAGTTAACGTATTCTTTCCTTTCCTCACCGAATGCTCTATTCCCTTGCTGCCTGTTTTATTAAAAGAGGTGATTCAGACACTTCTAAGAATAAAAGTTGGTGAAGGACAATAGTAGACTGGCCTGAAGATTAAAGGCCTAAAAACTTAGATTCTTTCTAGTTTAAACCCTGCCACTACCTCACTGTTTAACCTGGAGAATTTACTTGTTATTGGGGGGCCTCATTTTCTCATCTTATTAGCAAAATGTTTGACTCTAAAAGAGTTTCTCTCACTCTATAAAATGATATCAATCTGCCAGTTTTTTCATTCTTACAATCGGCATAATCTTAACATTTTAATAAACATGCCACGTTTTAAAAATTGGAGAGACTGGAATCTGAGGTCAGGAATGAGGCGGTGATCTGGAATTGGCTGAGACCCTGCCACTTAATAGGAATAAGACTCAAACACATCTTGGGACTTTGAGAGGGAATATCTGTAAGCATAATGGGGCTTAAATTGTGTTCTGTTTTATTAACAAGAAGAAAAGTGCTCTTGACTTTAATCTTTTACTTTGATCTATCATAAAGTCAATCAAGAATCCTAAATTTAATTACACCTTTAAATATTATGTCATTGTGTTTATAAGGTAAGTAAATTTCCCAACATTGAGAGGTAAGAAGAAACTCCCTCTCAAGAAGAAATTCAAATTGAATATAGTTCTGTACAACTTCTTTTATACAACTAGAATTACCTCAGTCATTTGGATCTTGAACTTGATTTTCCTATAAAGGTTTTGGGGGCTTAAAATAGTGATGTAATTGCCCAACTGTCTATTTTATTCCATGCTGTTGAGATCCACTAAGTGTTTTCCCATCAAGCCGTTTCTCTGTGATTGATAAGAAAACTTTTGCTAGTCCCCTTGCAGGACAACTAGTTAATCAATATAGACTAATCAGATATATATTTATTCCACTTGGGGAAACTGGGATAAGTGTAATTCAGAGAATTATTGCCATCTGATATATTGCCCTATCTGGGACAGTTTTTTAAATCCACAAGTCACTGCAATTCTATTAGGCCACTTATGTGACAAAAGGAGACCAGCTCCCACATTGAATTTTGGCACAGCTAGTGTCTCTTCTTGCCAAAAAGGGCAAAGGCCTTGAGCAAGAGGCCAGCCTTTTCCTGATTATAAAACTGACCACATTCCTTGCCAACCTATCAGTGTAAGTCTATTTTTTCCTGGTAATACACTATTCTTCTCAGAGAGAGCTCCACTTTTTTCATTATGACATGGTATTTGTCATTTTAACATCAACTGATGCAACATTGCTGCAGTTGATGGATAAACTTAATAATCAAGTTTTTCAAAAGAAAACCTGATATTAAAAAAATCTAAACCTATTAGTCCCTACTCTCATTCTATCAACTGTTTAATTTTATAGAATTTGGATAGCAGTCAGGATCATTTGGAGCTTTGTAAAGTAGTAGAAAAAATACCTTAGTATATAACACTTCAGTAGAATACTGATAGCAAATTTTAAAATATGAATACATGTTTGGATTAAAATTTTTTCCAGATAATATTAGAGGTTCAACCAGGGTTGGGCAGCGAGAGAAAAACTTTGTCCAAGTAAGTTTATCTAGACAGAGATTTTAAGTTTTCCATTTAAGAAGCAATTGAGCCCTAGCCAGTTTGGCTCAATGGATAGCGCATCAGCCTGCGAACTGAAGGGTCCCAAGTTCGATTCTGGTCAAGGGCATATGCCTGGGTTGTGGGCTCGATTCCCAATAGAGGACTTGCAGGATGCAGTCGATCAATGATTCTCTCTCATTGTTGATGTTTCTATCGCTCTTCCTCTATGAAATCAGTAAAAATATATTTTATAAAATGAAGCAATTGAATATTGAACAGTCTCTTTGCTCTGATAGTTCTAAATACTGTATAGCTCGTGCCCCTCATAAGACACTAAACATGTGGGTCACTGGCGAGACAGTGTGGCAATGTTTTCCTTGTAATGCACCAAGTCTTGCCAAAGCAGTGAACAAAATTATGACACAACATTTTGTCACAGCTGGCTCTTTAACAGAAGAGTGCCAGCCAATTCAGGCCTAGTTCTTTGTGTTTATTCCCACCTCTCCCGAATATTTGGAAACTGATGTCCTGACTCATTGGTGTGTTCACAAGTTCTACTACCACAGGTCTTTTTCTTTTAACGGATTGGTCTTTTGCAAAAAAATAGATAAAATATCAGTGTGAATTACACCAATTCCTATTCCATGCTGTTATGGGTGAAACTCTGGGAGAGTCTCTTATTGACCCAGAAAGTGATTCCTTCGCTGATACACTGTCTGCAAGCACTTCACAAGGTAAAGTCCATTCCAGATATGGCTATGGGGTACTTTGGGCATTTATAGAAGGTTAAAATTGCTCTTGTAGTTTGTTTTCTAGATTATATTTGTTATAATACTGTTATGTGTATAGTTCAGTATTTTAATGCTTAGTTTGCTGCTATAGTGTTTACTTGTAAGCATATTCAGAACTTTTAAAAGAAAACTAAACTAATTCATATTTTATCTCTCTGCATGGCTCCCATTTCTTGATTTTTAAGCATTAAAGATAGATTTATATAAAAAAGAGTTGTTCATTTTATTTCCTGGATTTATATGCTTGCCAAAAATATTTAAGGTCTTTTTAGAATATCTGAAGAATCACTATTTTTCCCTTTTACTCTTATATGTCAAATATTTCTCATAGCAGTTTTTATTCCTCTTATAGCATTTCCATTTCCTTTAAAACCCTCTCGACATGTTTTTGTTCCACTTTGAAATTTATATATTTATGTGTACATTTAAATCTATCCCAAAGAATTGTAAGCTTCCAGAGTATGGACCAAGTTAAACACTTCTTTATATTTCTTAGGTCACCTAGCATAGATCCTTATGCATTGTAGAATAAATTGTGGAGACCTTGGAGAATATCTATTCTAAGCATCTCATTTTACACATAAACAAAATGAGGTCTCTAAATGCCTATTTCATGCTAAATAAATGACTAATTTTTACATTTACAAACACAAACATATGTGTTTGAATAATATGTATATATACATATATATATATACATACATATATATATGATTCAAATAGATATCCCAATTTTCAACATTTCTTTCTTAGATTTTGCAAAATGTAAGTTCTTACCTTTTTTAACCCTTTTTTTCCATTTTAATGTGGTTCTTTTTTTCTCAATTACAGTTGACATTTAATATTACATTAGTTTCAGGTATACAGCAGAGTTCTTCCTTTCTATAGTTCCTTCTACTAGAGTTTCTTACCACAGCTTCTTCTGTTTTGTATTTATTTCTATTTGTGTGTTTTTCTCTCCTAGATGCTAAAAATAGATTGAGTTAACTAGTGTGATTCATGTTTCATAATATAAGTACTAAAATATTAAAATTAAGTCATGTAATTCTTGAAATTATGGCTTTACAATTTAATGATTTAATTTTTCTGGAAGCCTGAAGTTTAAACATATCAATCGCAATTTTTTAAAACATCATGCTTTCTAAAAAATAGTTTTAAATATTTCCTGAAATACTATTTAGTTTTATTGTGATGATTGACCCAAGGTATATTTCTCTCATCTCAGCCTCTTAAAAAGAAGTTTAGTTTCATTATATGATATAAAAGTCTGTTACTATATTTTTCTGCAAGCTATAAAACTCTTGGCATCTTTCCCCAGTTACTGATTTAGTTGGTATCAGGACAGAATGTCCTAGCTATACTGTGAAATAGTTCTTGTGTCAAAATTTGATAGTTTTGTCTGTTTGAAATTAATATATCCACAGTGCAGTGCAACAAATATTTTAGCTTAACTGGGGGATAAGTACTATTTGTGGTGAGGGTAGTTGTGTGATTCAAGTTAATTTTCATTCTTTACAAATCTCTATTTTTGTACCTTGAATTTGCCCTGGATTTAAATTTTTTTCTAGTCTCAAATCTCCTCCCAGAGGAGAATAACCCAACACTTTCCTTCCTAACTAACATGGTACAGAATAAAATTATTATAATTAAGAAATTATATAATGTACCAATAATTTAACTCTTGTTTTATATGGTCTCTGATTACTTCTTATTTATAGTGTTTTTCTGTGAAACATATGAGATCTTAAAGGTCAAAGACCTGTGGTTAACTTCTATTGTATTTTATAGATGACCATGACAGACTTGAAAATAAATTGGGAATATGATCATTATTAACTATTTGAGTCCAGCAGAGATGAAACACTGTAGAGATTAGGTATTTGGTCTCGTAACAGTAATTAATGTTGATGTTCCTTCTTCCTCATCATAGACAAGATGGAATTGAGGGTTGTTACAAGTAGCTGGGGTCCTGCTAATTGAAGAAAAGATGGCTTATGAGTGTAAATGATCCAGATGTCCAGCTGAGTTGGTCATGTTCATGATATTAAAAACTCTATGTAGCCATTATGCACAAAAAGGACTTCTCCACTTTTTTCTGAGCTTCATGATCATTGTGACCCACTTTATCTTATCCCCCTTTCTGTTTTCATCATGAGCTTCTCAGGCAACCCCAAGTAACCCCATGCTGGCTCTGAAATCACTTCCACTAGTAAAAATTGGCAAGATTGAAGGGAAGCTTCCACAGACTCAAGCTGAACATGCCTTCTGCTTTCAGTGCCAGACTCAGTCCTATGTGAATTCTCTAATTTTAAGTTGTTGCACCAGAGCATTAAAAGATGATGACACATTTGTCCTTTGGAGCTGATTGAGCAATGGAAATATGCCTTAGAGACATGACAAATGCTGCAATAGATGATTCTTGAAACGAGAATCTCTCCTGAGATAGGAGTAAATGATTGATTGCCCATCATTTTTTACTGAGGGAAACTTAAACTGTGTCCATGTGACTCCAGGCAACTGTATACTTGGAACCATTTTGGTAATTGACCAAAGTGTTCACCTTTCCAGAAGTTCGAAGGGACCAATGTAGTATAGAGGACGTAACCACCCCAACCTTGTCTTGGCCACATACTTTCTGTGTAAGTTTGAGCCAATCACTTATTCTCTCTGCCCTCCATTTCTGCACATATTAACAGAAAATACAGGGTTAAATGACACAATATTTGTGAAAGTACATCTGAAGCCATATATAGAGTTTATTGTTTGTCCTTGAAGTATTAATCACTTGTGGATAGACTAGAAGACTTATAATCTTTCTAAATGTAAATTTGAAGTATTTTAAGGAATATCCTTTGTGCACCAAAATAAGTGGCAGTTTTGAGTGAAATGAGGTTTCTGCATATCTTCCCATGAATGTGTTAATAAGGAAATGATCAAAATTAAAGGAAGCATCTTTGTGTCTGATTTTTTTAATAGAGGAATTATCTTCCACTTTCTTTTTTTTTAATATATTTTTTATTGATTTTTTACAGAGAGGAAGGGAAAGAGATAGAGAGCAAGAAACGTCGATGAGAGAGAAACACTGACCAGTTGCCTCTTGCATACCCCCTACCAGGGATGTGCCCGCAACCAATGTACATGCCCCTGACCGGAATCGAACCTGGGACCTTTCAGTCCGCAGATCGACGCTCTACCACAGAGCCAAAACAGTTTCAGCTTATCTCCCACTTTCATTAACATTTGTCTATGAAAAGATTGGATTTCCAAAAGTTGAAATTATTTTGGAGCCTAAATAAGAGTGATGATTACATGTTTTCTTCTCAAAAACATTAAAAAACTCTCTCCGATTATAATGTCCTGTATATGATGAAAAGTTAGGTTATTAACACCACCCTGAATTTCATAACCTAACATGTAATAATAATTCAGGGCCTTTTTCTAGAATTTTACTATTGTCCATATTAATTTTTTTTTTAGTATGGTCTAGTTTTATTTGTTTCTTATTTAACTGTTCAAATCTCTTTTCTGGTCACCAGAACTTAGAGATTTGGTAGATTTCTAAACTCTGAGAATCTCCTGTTTTGAAACATGGTCATTTCTCTTGTTATTCCTCCAAACTATGAATTATAGGAAACACTCTAAACAAATGTCATTTATATTAGATGCTTACAAGAAGACAAGCATTAAAAAAAAAAAAAAAATTTCCCCCTACCAGCCCTCAGAAATACAACTTGTCTTGAAAACTACTTGACAGCAGTTATTCATTTAAACTATTAATTGAGGTGCATGAGTCGTTAAATAAAAACAATTTTTAGACATTGAAATAGGTTTTCATAGATTACTATCTTTGTTAGCATTCTCACTTATAACTTGAATAAGACCGCCTTGAGAAAATTCTAAAATCATCATATCTCTTTGTAAGGTACATATACTTTGCATCAGAGAAAATGTGAGCTAAGCACATTTTTTCATTGTATTAGACCAACAAAAGTGACACAAGGTTTCTGTTATTTAAGGTTCCTTTAGATACCCTTAAATTGGGCATTAGAAAGTTGTCCAGCAAATGCTTCCTGTTCATCTGTGAAAATATGTGATAGAGAATGAATCAGACTCACTTGAATGGAGCTAAGTTTCTATAAACCTCTACCAGATTACCCATTTTTGTAGTCACAGTTTGCACCTCTGACTAAATTAGAGGCACGGGACTTGCACATGTATCTGATAGTAACAGCAATCCAACTCTGTAATCTCGAATTAAGATCACAGGGCTGTTTGAGTACACAGTTTTTAGGCTCATGTAATTTTTGTTTGAATGAGGGGTTGGCAGCACAAGATTGAGATTCCCACAGTGGGGAATGGCTTGCATCATAAAGTAAACTTAGAACTATCAACTGCTAATTATCTACATGTGAATTATCCCTCACTACTTCCTGTATGGCTTTCTAGCTGACCTTCTAAATAAGAAACTCAGCCGAGACCGGTTTGGCTCAATGGATAGAGCGTCTGCTTGGGGACTGAAGGGTCCCGGGTTTGATTCCGATCAAGGGCATGTACCTTGGTTGCGGGCATATCCCCAGTAGGGGGTGTGCAAGAGGCAGCTGATCGATGACTCTCATCGATGTTTCTAACTATCTCTCTCCCTTCCTCTCTCTACAAAATCAATAAAATATATTAAAAAAAAAGAAAGAAAGAAAGAAAGAAAGAAAGAAAGAAAGAAAGAAAGAAAGAAAGAAAGAAAGAAAGAAAGAAACTCTTAGCCAGCCAATCCAATTTGCAGAATAGGTGGTCCTAAAAAACAGCCTCTAATAAGTATTGAGCACCTACTATGGTGGACACTGTGAAGTCTAAACACCTTTGCCTGGCTTTCAAAGCACTTTAATCTGGTTCTACTTTATCATCTTATTTCCCTACAAATCCTAGTGATTGGCCTGAAACTTAATAGA